TGGATGACTGGTTGTGTAAAGCGCTTTGGGGTCCTTAGGGACTAGTAAAAGCGCTAAACAAATACAGGCCATTTACCATTTACCATATGACCATATATGAGGGTGGAATCTTAAGTTTTCATAATATGTAAGGCCTTATGTTTTCATACATAAGGCGAATTAAGCTAAACAAAACGGTCCGATAAGCCAAATTTTACTCAACTCATTCTTCTAGCTTCCTCCACTTCTGTACCATTGATTGATTAATGTTGAATTCTCTCGCAGCTGCTCTATTCCCATGTTGTTGCAGGATATTAATGACTAACCTTGTATTGTGGATGGATTATCTCAGTTGCTAAAAAGTTAGCGTTCATCCTCCAGCTTCACTGTGTTTATGTTATGCTAACATAGCTGTGTCGCTAGCGATCACGCAGCAAGCACATCATTATATACCAACTAGCCCAACTTCAGTAACCCTACTAACGTCACTGCTATTTAGTTTTCTGTCTTAATTTATGTTGGAAGTGATGGCAGAGCTGTACGTTTTCATTTTTTCAGAACTCATCATATTTATAGTGCGGAAAATATGGTACATCCCAATGAGATATAAAGGGGTCTTGCCTAAGTATTAATGAAAAATCAACATTAATGAATCAATGGTATGGAAGTGGAGAAAGCAAGAAGAATGAGTTGAATACAATTTGACTTATCTGACTGTTTTGTTTTGCTTAATGTGCCTTGTAATCCGGTGCACCTTATGGTCCGAAAATCACGGTACATTGGGCCCCTTTGATGCAATTATTTCTGACCTTTGCCACTGTTCTTACTGTGATGTTTTTTTTGTTTTGTTTTTTTTCACATTGATGTCTTCAGGTGAAACTTTGGGTATTTATTTCAACCAATTGTGTGTTTTTGTCCTCATCCAGCATTAAGCCATTCTTTATGGATGTCTCTCTGCCCAGAGCGTGTCACATTTTGTGTTTTAGTTTGCAAAATACTTATTCCAAAACATAATCTTTTTTTTCCATTGATATGCTTCATAAGTGGCTTCTATCATCCAGAAAAAATAGATTTAATAAAATTATTAAAAAAAATTAAATAGTTGTTTGGGGGGGGTTCAAGTAAATTTTAAAAGAACTATTTGTCATACTAACTAATTTGACTTAAACACTGGAAAGCAATTTATTTAATATTTAAACAGTAGTAAACAGTAGTGTTATATGATATTTTTGAATTAAGATACAGGTTATTATCTTTGCTTATAATGTGTTAGCTGATTTGGATCAGTAGAGGATCATGTGAGTGCAGCTGGCTTGCAAAAGACACATGATGCTTAATATTTATTTATTTTTTCTCTCAACTGAAACATTACAAATAACATCACTTAGAAATGCTTGCTTGCCTTCTTAAATGGGATAGACTAATGGCAATATTTTTCTCTCTTGCAAAATTTAGATTTTCATTTTTTAAATTTAGGTGAAAGGAAGGTGTAGGCAATTTTAGGGGTTTATCTCTGCCATTTCCACTATGTGGAAACCATTGGATGTAAACTTCTTAGACAAGTCACTGTTTTTACACTGTGACTTGTCACTGTTTTGCCCTCAGGCATCAGGTTTGTTGATAGTGAAAATAATGTTGACAGAGAAGGTGTGGACACAACCTAAGGTTGTCAACACATGAAGTGTCAATAGTACAGAAGAAAGGACTGATAATAATGCGTTAAATTTGCTTTCTAAAGTTCTAAAGTTCTGAACTTTTACTTTATTTTGTGACCAGTTAAAAGGTTTGTCAGCTGCTTGCAATAATAATAGCTGTTAACTACTGACTAACAAATACAATATGCATATTTCATGGTTTGTGAGTGATTCAGTGGTTTAGTAGACAAAGAAGTCAACAGTGACTGTGATATAAACATATCATCACTATAAAGAGGTCTCTAAATAAGTAACAGTACTCTATTATTAAAACTGATGATGATTTGTATGCTATTTACGACACTGACAAATGTTCAAATCCGTCACAATATTGGAGTAAAAGAAACACTTCCAAAAAAGGATACTAGCATACATTTTAATACTTCCTAGATACTGAATTTTTGAATTAAAAATGAATAACACTGATATTAAGCCATTTATTAGTTGTGTAGCAATGTATATACAACTCCAATTACACTATGGATTACATTTTTAAGGTACTTATCTACCTATTTATTATAATCTGGAAGATGATAACTTTGTCACAGATGGCACAGAAATTGACCCAAAAGCAGACACAATGCACAGAAGCGATCGAGTTTACAATCAGTTTGTTTACAATAACATAATCAAAGTTCACAGTGAGAGTCCTGTCCGGGACAGAACGCCTGAAACAGGAGCCAGAGCAGTTAAACAGTGAGAATTGAGCTTTCCTTACTTTTTTGTGCAGAGGCGTATTAAATCCCAGTTCTTTGTATTCTTTACGTCCAAAAAAGACACAAAGCTCAAAGTGGTCAAACTCAGCAAATGATCTTTAATTTTACATATTCCGGAATATGGAGACTCAGCAGACACACAGACATGTCAGCCAAAGTCTGAAGCAAAACAGGAAGCTTAGTCATTTATATAATTCCTCTAGACGTCACACACACTTCAAGTTTTGATCAAAGACTCTGCTTACTTTCACTTTCTGGCTGCAGGTCCTATTTTTGCAAATGCATAGTTTCCTGTCAGTACTTTTAACTCAAACTCAAAACTGGACCTCTCTTATACATAAAACAATATAATCAGCAGATAAGCATTCAGATTATATATTACTTTTATATAACTTCGTCAAATCAGAGGCTAGAGAGGACCGCACTACCGTTCATTGTTTAGGCAGAACAAAGAAACCTGTTCAACCTGCAAAAAAACAGTTGAACTCCCATCCAGTCAGATGGCAGCTAGTTTTTGGTCGATTCAGTTTCACTTTAATCTATGGTGCTTAAAGTGAAACCTGATGCCTTGTCTTAATTTGCTGAAGTAGAAAATATCTTGTAACATGGAAAATCAAAGACTAGATATGTCATATGTCATGGCTGTGTGCAGGTAGGCAGGGAAAAGGACCCAAAATGCAGGACTCACAGAGGCAAGGTGAACTCAAAATGCACAGCTTTATTGCGAGTTGCGGACCGGACAGAAAACTAGCTATTCTGGAGAGAAATAAACTAGCAGACTGGCAAGCAGATAAACAGAACACACAGCATAGTATGAGGGCGAGCAGACATTAACGACCCAACACTGACACAGAGAAAACAGGCCTTAAATACACAGAGGGAGCAATCAGGGGATGACAGACAGGAGGGAAACACAGATGGGTCAAATCAGGGGTGACGAGATAAGGAGGAGCAAGACCAGACACAATACACACAGGACAGGGACTATAAATGTAAAACAGGAAACACACCGACGGAAATCTAGACACGTAAACTTAACAGAGACTAGGGAGACAGAACATAGAGACCTGAAATGTGGGAGAGAAACCGAAACACAGTCATAATCAGTGTTGGTCAAGTTACTTGAGGAAAGTAATCAGTAACTAATTACTGATTACAGCGGCAGAGACAGGGTTCAGAAAGCCGTCCAAGATAACGAAGAAGTCCAGCCAACGGCCTGAAAAGTGGCCGGCGAAGGCGAGGTGGTTCAGGCTGAGCTGGATCAGACGGCAGTGTAGCAACCGCATGACCAGACGAGGCAGGACCAGGCGGTGGCGTGGCAACTGCAGGTGGTGGCACTGCAATGGAGTTGAAACAGTTCTAGAATCGTTGCAGGCACGGTGTGGAAACCACAGGTGGGGACACAGGAGGTGGCTGATTGGACTCAGAGCCGTCAGCGGACACAAGGTTCTGAAGCAATTCCTCTGACCCTTCAGCAATGACGGATTGCTGAAGTGGCTCCTCAGGCCCCTCAGCGATGACAGATGGCTGAAGCGGCTCTTCAGGCCCTCCAGCGGAGACAGGCTGCTGAATGGGTCCCTCAGACGCACCATCAGAGGCTGACACAGAACCAGCAGGCCTGGAGATCTCTGGCAGAGATGGATCAGAACCAGCAGGCGCAGAGACCTCTGGTGGGCACAAAACAGCACCAGCAGGTTCGGGGACCTGGAGGGAGTAATCCTCGACTAGATTACTCCCTGCTGCCAGAGTCAGCTTAAGGCTGAGACTTAATCTTTGGGGAAGCCCTGGAGAGAGTGACTAATTCTAAGGGACCCAGCTTTTGAGGGAACTTAACAGTTTTAATGGGTTTGTCGCTCTGCTTAGAATGAGTGGTTAAGAAAACAGTCCTTTACAGATTTTGTAACTACAGCTTCCTGTACGGAAGGATGATTGATTTAAAGACCAGGAGACTGCACTGAGGGCGACTGAACAGGAGACTGAGCGGATGTGGAGCAGTACTCATAGAAATATTCCCCGGCTCAGGAGGAGCAGAATAAACACAGTCTCTTAACTGGAACTCAGCCTCAGGAAAAACAGTTTTGGGCTGGACTTCCCCAGCAAAAGAAACAGTTTCTGGTATGATAGTTTTTATATTCCCAGGCTCCGAAAACGCACAAGCAAAAGAGTCTTCAATGTCCAAAGAATGGGAATAAACAGTATCTGAGCTAACAGTGTCTGACACGAACATCTCAGCTGAGACAGTCTTAAAACCTCTAAGTTCAGTTTTGGCACAGCCTGAAAAGTCAGATATGGATTTGTAAGATAGAGGAGAAACTGACTCAGGGTTAACAAAGTCTGAGTTGGCTGTCTCAGAGGGATTTACTCCAGTCTTAGGAAAAGCAACACAAAATGAGTTTTTTAGCTCCTCAACTCTAGCATCTGAGTGAAAATCAGTCCCTAAATCCTCTGAGCTGGAGTCTGTGGAACCAGATATTTCAGTGTTTGTGTTTCCAAGCTCAGAGAGTGAACAGAGAGAGTGTTGCTCACTCACCACAACCAATGACTCAGAAGTTCTGGAATGCAGCTGAGGGGTGAAGCGCTGGCGGCGCGTACATCGCTTTCTCCTGGAGATGGGAGGAGAAAGTGTAGAGGAGACCGGTAACTGTGGAGTGGTGGGAGCCGGCTCCTCTTCCCCCGACCACATCACTGCCTTTAAAGAGGCAGGCGAGCAATAGTCAGAGTTGACTCGAATGTGTAGGTCATTCTGTGGCAGCAGCGAGGGATCACTATCCTGCTGCAGCGATCGTCGTGGCATTGCAGAAAGCTCCATGTTCTGCCGCTGCTGTGTCGCAGGGAGCTCATGCTACTTTGCGGCGAGCTCCTTCCGCTGCTGCTGTGGCAGCTGCAGCTTCGGCAGCTGCAGCTTCGGCGTGGAGTACTGGGAGCGAGCAAAGGCTGCTAGCTCCCAAGCTTGAAAAACCTCATCCAACAAGCCCATAAATCCCCTGAGTTGGCGGAAATGTGGATTCCTCTCGAGGATCGCTTCGATAACGTTTATCCCTATTGCCATCGCCTTAATATCCTCTGTATTGGAAATCCACTTTACCAAGCCCATGATGCGGGTGAGATCGCTCTCCCGGGACGAACCCACTAGGTCTAGGTTATGGTCGCATCGTTCTGTCATGGCTGTGTGCAGGCAGGCAGGGAAAAGGACCCAAAATTCAGGACTCACGGAGGCAAGGTGAACTCAAAATGCACAGCTTTATTGCAAGTTGCAGACTGGAAAGAAAACTAGCTATTCTGGAGAGAAATATGACACGTAAACTCGAAAGAGACTAGGGAGACAGAACATAGAGACCTGTGTGGGACAGAAACCAAAACACAAACAGTCATAATCCATGATAAAATCAAAAGTAAAAGTACGAAACTCAAAACACTGGGTCACCGACCCAGGACCGTGACATCATATCCAGCAAATTTAACCAGATACCACTACATGACCCCACTGGCAGTCTGTATGTCCCCTGTATTGTATACTTATATAAATAATTGGTTGACATCAGGGGTAAACTTTAAATCCTATTTCCATTTCTGTGATGGAATACAGATTCTTGTATTGATCAAAGAGAAAATTTCATATATATATGTATAACTTCTGCTCTAATGTTTTTGTTGGTCTTCTCTTCCAATTTCATCTTGTATCTGTTCTGGGTTCTGGGAACCACTGTTCTGGGTTTTGGACCAAGCATTTTGTATTTTTGGACTCCCAATTTCTGTTTATGCTGAATTATATTCAGTTTGAGTCTAGCTTAGTTTAGCTCTAGTTTAGCTTTTCTCTTTTGTCTTTTCCATTGTATTTATCCTGTGTGGTTGACTTTACAGCTGCTTGCAGTTGTTTAGTTTGTCTTATCTTTAATTTGTAATTAATTAGAGTTCTTAGTTCCTGGTTTTGTCTTTAAAGCAAAAGTGTTGGGAAAGCGCTGCAAAAACCACCCTTCAGTTTTGCATGCTGTGGGCGTTAGATCTTTCGTATGGTACTTGCTTTTTGTGCCAAAACACAGAAGGTTTAATAGGTTTTTTCCATTGTTTGCTTCTTGTTTTGATAATTTTCTGTTCTAAACTGGAAAGAAATTAGATGGTAGTTTTCAGGAAAATTATCATGATACTCCCGTTACCTGTTTCTGCAGGTTTTCTGCTTAAAAAAAAAAAGTTAAGAACTGTCAGTCTCAAGACTGACTCAACATAGACCAATGGCAAGAAGGTTATAAGAAATTTAATAAGCAGAAACCAAATCTCAATCTCATTTACAATATTTTAAATATTAATAAATAATAAATAATTTACAGAACTAAAATTAAGCCATGACTTTGGAAAAATACTGCCTCCTGGGAGTATAAGTCCTTAGAGAAAAGACACTTTTTTGTGTAGGTTTAGAGTTAAACATAACCCTTTGTGTTATGTCTAACATAACACGGTTAGGGTGTCAAGTTTCTTCTGCTCTTTTAAGTAGTAAAAGAGCGCCCTCTATGTATCATCATATATAATGACATCTAACTTTAACCTTTTGTGATTCATCAGTCTAAAAGTCCAATTTTGGGGATTCTAATTTAAATTTTGTAATTGCAAAACACTTCAGCACTTCCATGTGAGCCTCTTTATTCAAAATGTGCATGTGGAAATGGATAGATGTTTAATAAGCCCCTTTGTTTTCTTTTATGTCCCTTTCATTTCATTTGAGTAATTTTGAACGAGTGTTTCTTTTCACTCTGATTGGTGGTAATGATTTTCTGGAGGTCATTAAATCATTAATCCTCTATTGTCTATATTGCTGGGTATATATTTAATTTGGAAAGTACTGTGGACCATAATTTGGTCGGCAGTGCAAGGGTCCACCTCTTGAAAAGCAGCATACCATACATTGTCAAAGCTGGGTGATCCACATCAACCTTTATCGTGTGTGTGTGTGTGTGTGTGTGTGTGTGTGTGCATACTGCTGACAGTTTTCCTTGCTCTCCACCTTAGCTCTATTGCCTCCCTGTCTCTGACTGTTTGTGCATGTAAGAGTTTTGCCTGCTCTCAGGGTATGACAACTCTCCACTCTCCACAGATATTAACAATAACACAAATTTCAGGAGATCAACCTTGTAAAATTCTAAATATCTAAATA